CTCTCTCTCTCTCTCTCTCTCTCTCTCTCTCAAAACTAATAAACGTTAAAAAAAAATTTTAATATGTGTAGAAATCTCTTTTTGCCCTATAAGGAAAACTAACTCATCAATTCACACATTCAAATTGCAACAGTGTTTGGTTTTTTGTTTTTGTTTTTGTTTTTAACGTGGCCGCATTTCTTAGGAGATAAGTTACTTAATAATAGTAAGAACGACAGAACCTATATAGCATCAAAACAGCATCATGGCAGAGTGATATCAACCCTGCCTACCCAGTTCCAGGGGCTTAGCATCTGCTGCAAACTGCTGGTCTCCTGTATCCTGGTGTTCTGAGGCAGGGAGAGAAGAACAAAGCCATCTTATCATAACCTCATTTGGTCACCCTCTCCATACACGGCAGTAGCACTGAACCCCTTATCCACCTACGTCTGGGATCACCTGGGCTGCACGTGAGTGCGTATCATGGCGCTTGCCCTGTTACCCGTGTGCACCTGCCTGTCGCTCCCCTCAGCAGTGTGGGGGAGAGGGGGTCTTCTTCTGCCCTGTGTCCTCAAGGCCCACGCAGGGCCCAGTGCCTGTGAGGCCTCGATACACCTGAGAGCACCGGAGGGGACAGGCTGAGCCCTGCCCTCGGACGGCCCCGCCGTCTGGCTTTAGGCAACATACTTAACCTCTTCAGTCCTAGTTTTCTTGTCCATAAAATGGGAAAATGAGACCTCCGTCTTAGGATCCCTGGTAGGATTGAGTTATGGAGTTCGGCTCCTGGTCCCCCCCTCTCAGAGGAGGGACCAGTCTGCTTAGAACAACAGCCCCCTGGCCCCTCTCGCTCTCCCGTTTCCTTCATCACGTTGCCCTCCACTGGACTTCAGGCGCGTTCATTTGTTTGCTTTTCTTTCTTCTTGCAATTTGAAAGCAAGCAGAAGTCTTGTCCTCATGGGGCCAACACTGTACCCCCAGTGCCTGGCAGATAGTAAGTACCGGCTCAATCTGTGTACGATTGAAGTCTGCCGCATGACGGGAGATGGGTGGGTGGGTGGACGGACGGACGGACAGCTGGGTTGGTAGGCAGGTAGGATGGATGGGAGGGAAGAATGAAGGAGAGACAAAGCCAGACAGCCAAGTAATAAGTAGATAGGGCCCACTGCATATATGCAGACAACCGTTGAGTTGTTGATATTTTAGACGACGGTTTTTCTCAGCTGCTTTGATTAATTAGATCCAGGTATTTTGATCAAAGCGCCATCGAATAGGATTAATTTAAGTGCGAAGTACGGGCTCAGCGCCGAGACTCATCCTTACCATCCCCCGACCTCCAGTAAGTAGATGAAAAAGAGGAAGAAGGAAGAAGGTGCGTAGAGGGCAGAGGCTGGGTATGTCAGTGGCGCAACCACACTGTGGGCGGAAGGGGGCCGCTGGGGCGGGTGCTGTAAGAACAACAACGTGATGTGGTGGCTCAGCCGGTCAAAAGTCCAACTCGATTTCAGCTCAGGTCATGATCTCACCGTTCGGGAGATCGAGCCCCACGTCCAGCTCTGCGCCGACAGCACGGAGCCCGCTTGGGATTCTCTCTCCTCTCTCTCTCTCTCTCTCTCTCTCTCTCTCTCAGCCCCCCCCCCATTCCTGCCCCTCCCCCATATTCCCTCTCTCTCAAAATGACGAAACTTTAAAAAAAACAACAAAAAAAACAGGAACGTGATACTGTTGAGCCAGAGACCTTGCCTTGTGCCATGACAGAGAAGTGTGTCCAGTTCGGGATAATGCCTTTCAAAGGGAGTTTGGAGAGGCCGCTCCACACGGTTTTTGAAAAACAGAGAACGGAAAAATGGGAGTTTCCCCCGGTAGCTTCCTGTGGAGGTCCACGTCTGAACCCAGTGTTGATCGCCGCTGTTGCGAGGGTCTGTTGTTTCTTTGCTTTGCTTTGCTTTGTTGGGTTTTAGTGAGATGCTAATCACGTCTGCTCTTGGCCGATGGAAAGGAATCAGCTACAGGTTAAAGAAAGAGACGTGTTTAGGGGCGCCTGGGTGGCTCAGTCAGGTAAGCATCCGACTCTCGGTTTTGGCTCAGGTCATGTTCTCGCAGTTTCGCGGGCTTGAGCCCCGCATCAGGCTCTGTGCTGACAGCGGGGAGCCTGCTTGGGATTCTCTCTCCTCCCACCCCGTCTCTCTCTGCCCCTCCCCCACTCACGCT